TATCAGTTGTTTAACATGTTCACCATCGTAGTATAGCATGTTAGCGTGCTACAAATGTGCTAGTTGTCAAACATAAAGTAGAGCTGAGGCTGATGGGATTGTGGTTAGTTTTGCAAGAGGTGGTCATAAACCAAATCATTATAAAAAATGTGGAATTTTATGGCTGCCCATCCAATAGCATTAGAAGTTCAAAGGTCAGCACCTCCTCTGATTGAAAGTCGACGTCTCTACTGATGTGAAACCTTGAAAAGTCAGTGGATTAATATTTCACGTTTAGTTTTACGTCGGGTGAGTCAGTGTTACCGATCCCGAGGAGCTGAAATGAGTTTTGTCAAATATCGCGACCTGGTGTCCCAATAATCTGCAAATAAATCTCTAGGCTGTGTTGATCTAATCTCCATAGAAACCCACTCAAGCACAAATCCGCCAAACAGACGAGATATATTGAACCCTGAGTACTAAAAGCTCTCTATCAGCACACTGCTTGATAAGTTATTGATCAGCACCGTCAGCAGCAGCATGACTTCCCTCCGATACTGTAATCTATAAGTGCACAGCCGGGGGGGTTTATTTTTATGTCTGGGTGGTGGTGTCCCTGCCCAGGCCCCATAAAGAGATTCAATGACTGGAGACTGTTAATTATATACATTTAACACCGCCGGGCGAGACTACCACCGTGCCCCTAACGACAGTATGTACTGCATGTGTTTGTGGGTGTGTCAACATCGGACGAGATCAGTATGTGATCAGGTTTGATTTATTTTTCCCTTTAAATTCAACACAAATCAAAGGGAGTTACTTGTTAGGAATCATTAATTAAACACATTTCTTTGCTTAATTATTTAAGGGACCAGGATGTCCGCTCTTGCCTCTTTAACTTGTAGATTCCTAAACACCTACTGATTTCCTTGTATGCCGATAGAGCCTGTGCCATCTAATTATCTATTAAGAATAATAATAATAGTAATAATCAGGAGATGAATGGAGGGAGGCGAGAGGAGAAAAGACGAGAGAATGAGACTCCTGAACTCCTTTTACAGTACATGCGGCCATTTAACTGTAACAAGTTACGAGTTAATGCTACACCAAGAAAAAGGATAGAGTGGTGGCAGCGCACATGTCTGTTGTTCATAATATGTGACTTCCCTTGGATTCGGGGGCCTCTGCAAACACATAAAGGCAGGCAGGCACGTGCACACGCACGCACACACACGCACACACACACACTCTTCTTTCCTTTCCTGCAGTGGCTGTTGTGTATATATAGAGAGAGTGCGGGGAAGTGGAAGGATGGCTCAGGACAACCTGTTCTCAGTATGGATGGATGAAAAAGTCACAGGAGCAGAAGAGGAATCCCAGCCATCACCACACACACACACACACACACACACACACACACACACACACACACAGACAATGCTAACATGCTGATTCTTTGCAGGTTCATCATCTTAATTTAGCATTTTAGCATGCTAACATCTACCAATTAGCACTAAAAATAATCAGCTGAGCTATATTTTCGTAGGAAGCGAAGTACTTAATGGCATCAACTAAAAAAAAGTCAAAATCTTTCAGGTTTCTCTTTTGGGGACTTGCAATGTTTGTTCTCAACAGTGCTGACATTTTCTAAACTGATTGTGTATTTCCTAATCCCTGCTAAATATCTATTCCTAACTGTTGCATTAATATCCTGTGTATCTCTGTGAAGCACACCACATCTGCTATGACCTTTATGAATGAAGTTGAGTGGACTCACATAGATTTGGGACCAACCACATCGAGAGATAAAGAGAGTAAAGGATGTACAAACGGCCTCAGGTTCAAGAGATTAAACTGTTCAACAAGGAAAATGTTAGTTAACACCACAAGAGAGTACGATTTCTAACTCCTAGCTCTGAAAAATGTCTGAAAGGGCTCAGTCCTAATTTACATTTACAGCAAACTAAGCACTGCCTGCATTAGTATTCCATGGCAGCCGTCTTGTATAACAGCTGTGGTAGAGAGCATCCTAATCAAAAAAGTTAGATATACAGAGCGAGACTAAAGTCGTTCCAGATAACTGCTGTGGCCGAAGGAGGGATTCCTTTTTGGCCTTTTGTTTTTCCCGCATGTGAGTAATCTTTCATCTTTATTTAAGTTTAATAAGGATGGTTATACAACAGCAGGAAGGTACAGGTGAGTGGGCTCTGATTGCAGCCCCCCTTCACTTCATCTGCAATAGGACAGAGGGGAGACGAAATTTAAGAGGAAGAGGGAAAGGAGAGAAGGGAAAAAAAAGGCGGGGGGGGGAGAGAAGCAGGAAGATGGAGAGAAAGAAGACAAAAGGAAAGCTGAAGGAGAGGATATGGAAGGAAAAGGAAGATAGAAGAAGATGAGAGGAGGGAAAGGGAGAGACGAGAGGAAAAGAAAGAAACTAGGAGAAGAAGAGGAGAAATAGAGGGGAGAAGAGGGGTGGGAAGGAAAGACAGAGGAGGTAAAAAGGGGGAGAGGAAAGGGAAACAAAAGGAAAACAAGAGTGGAAGAAGGAAAAGAGCGGAGAGAAGAAGGAGGGGGTAGAGGAGAGAAAGAGATGAATAAGAGGGAAAGCGGGAGGAGAGGAAAAGGACTTTAGAGGGAGATGAGATGAGGGAAAGGGAGAGAGGAGAGAAGATGATAAGAGAAGGGGAGAGGAGATGATAAAAGAAGAGGAAAGGAGAAGACACTTCATAAAGACGCACCACAACTACTGACCACCGCGGGTGTCGGGTCTAAACTGGGTCTGACTGATGACGATGACACGCCACAGTCAGAACAGGACGCTTGTCGTCAACTGTCAGTCCAACATCAGCAGCATGTGACGAGCATGTTTTCACCTGCTGTCAGCAATCACAGCGAGAGATGATCCGTCAGAGGAGCAGGGCTATGTTTAGGATGCTGGCTCCACGTCATCTGTGGCAGCGATCACTAGCTTGTTACATATACATGTTTGACACACTGTACTGGAGGCCGGGAACACTTCATCTGTCAATTCACCATTCCTGGTTATTCTCTATGGCACTGCTCTTGTGCACTATTTCAACCGGTATTTCAAGTGCAAGTGTATTTACAGTCTCAAGGTTCTCTGCCTAGAATTGTTGTTGTATGAGTTACAGTTACTATAATCTTCAAATAATACCAGACAGGAGTCGGAGCAATTGCCTGAAAAGAGTGGAAACAGACAATTACAGATAAAAGGTATTAAATGTGACATTAAATACATAATTTTTGGGGGCAAATGTTTGTACAAAAGGGAAGCATATTCTTAAAAGTTCATTTTAACTGCATGTTGATTCCTTGCAATAGTCCATTTAAAGGAATAGTTCGACATTTTGGGAAATTGCTTTTTTCGGCCGAGGGTTAGATGAGAAGATTAACACCACTTTCATATCGGTCCGTTCAATATAAGGCTCCAGCTATAGCAGCCGGTTAGCTTAGCATAAAGACTGGGAGCAGGGGGAAGCCGCAATCACTTGGATGGACAACACACGAGAGAGACAACAGCACCCAAGACTATAGTTAATGTTTTGTCAGGTGTTTCAGATAGTGAGGGGAATCATTTCCTGCAACTCCACTCAAAGAAAGGCTGCATACCAGCTTGACTGACTCACTGTTGCCATATAAACCAGGCCATGATCATAAAACATTGTGAAATCTTTGTCTCTGGTGAGGAAACATGAAAAAAAACAACATGGAGGATAGGTGCCTCCTGTAGGACGGCGGACGCTATAAAACTATTGCCCAAGACTCGGTGTATTGTGATCCAAACATCTTGATGGGACAAACACCTGGGACTTGGGATACTGTTGAGAGGATGTAATGTAAAAACATCTCAGATGAATGAATGTAAACCCAGAGGAAGAACACGTGCCCCATGTTTGAAAACATAATTATTCTTATGAGGCACCTCAGTTATGGCAACAGGTGTGAAGTTGTCTGATCCAGGAAATGTGTTTAAGCACCATCTGGTGAAATTCTGTGAAACAGCAGGAGAAAGACCCTTTCAGAGCACACATGTTGACATGTCACAGCAGGAAACACACACGTTTGTGTAGAATCCTGTGAATTTTGAATGTAAAATCACATTAACAGCTGGTTTTCAAAGTAAAATACTCATATGCTATGAATTTAGTGGTACTTATATGCAAGTCATTAGGCTTCACTCAGGTATCCGTTTGCTTATAAGATCCCAATGATCTATCTTCACTTCCATATTCCTACAATGTAACGTCAGGATATTCCTTTTTGTCACCGGGTGATTTTAAGGCTACAGAGCCACACGACAGCAGCTGACTTCTTTCTCTATTCAAAAGTGTGAATCTATGAAATTAACTACTGGAGCACACCCAGGAATCCTTGGATCATTTAGTGTTTCAGACTCAGATGTGCATCTGTGGGGAAATGTAAGAGGCCATTTTGTAAATCCTCGTTAGCAGAATCCATAACAGGACCATTAAAAACCCAAATGGAGATGGTTTTTAAGAGTTTTGTGTTCATGTTGACATTTGTGTTCTTTAAAGGTCCATCTAGGGACGGACAAAATGAACCCCAGTACGTGGCACTGATTCAGGCTATATACTTATCCCTATGAAATTACAATTTGCCTAATTAAAGCTTTATTGAACAGAACACCCCAGAAACCTACATCAGATTCTGTGGACTGCGAATTGAGATGTATCAATTCCTACGAGAAATGTATTAAGTTCATATCTCTATGAATGAAGTCTTTGCTGTAACCTCGCTCCTACAGGGGAACACAGACTGCACATAAACCAGACAAGCGCCGTGTATGCAAATGTACTAAAACTTAACAGCAGAACTTACGTTAAGCAGGTTTTAAGCTGAGCTCCATCTTCCAGACTTTAGTCAATGCAGCAGCTAGAAACAGTTCATTCTGGGTGAGTTTAAAGATGTCTAGAAGAAGCCACAAGATGTCACGTGTGCAATATTAAGGGACTCTAGGTGATAGAAAATCTGTAATAGCATTTAATCTTTAATACTTTTTTATTTGTAATATCATTTTTTTTTGCCACCACAATGACCCAATCAATTCAATGCACTTGCATAATCATCACAGATCAGTATCATAGAAAGAGCAAAAGCAGGTGAGGCCAACTCCGGAAAATCATGGCGAAAGACAACTTTGATAAAGACGACACCTTCAAAAAAAAAAAAAAAAAGGCCTGAACTTTCCCTTTAAAGACAACAACGCCTCGACTCTCAAAAACACCCGGAAGAAAACTAATTTGAATCGTCATGATATAAGTTTGGTTATGGTACATGCCTTTTTAATAAAGTAACACGGGAAATAAAATAGAGAACAAGCAACATAGATAGCATGGACAGACAGTTAAAATAAAGGAAAATAAAAACAGCCTACATCCTTTAAAAAAAAAAAGAAAAAAAAAAAAAGTACATTTTCAACACATTTCAGTAGTCTGTCACTACATGCAGACCGATCCTTTTCAGCACAAACAAGTTGTCTTTCTACCTTTCTCAATGTGTTGGGAATGGCTTTTTTTTTTTGTGAAACCATGTGGAACTAATTGGCTCATCCTCCCCAAATTGTCCAACTTTCACTGAAACCACAGACCGCTTGATGCAACATTACACGACATTAAATCATGAGATCTTGGATTAATAATAATTACACAATCCTCATCTAATTGGGCTCGAGCATCTAAATCACACGCTAACCTGTCTTCTATCAACCTAAGACCGAGATGAAGAGGATGGAGAGATAAAATGACATCTGCTGGGGCCACAAATCCACACTGGATGGACTCCATGCTGTTGAATGTTAGCTGTGTGGCTGTATTATCTACTGGTAGAGATATCGGGGGTGGGGGGGCTTCAAATTAATTTTACATTTAAAATGTTGGGTTCAACTTCCCTCAGTTGTCTGTGGATGAAAACGGTTCGTCCCTGCCCTCTGAGAGCCTCTGTGTTTTATTTTATTTTCAGTGTCTAATAACCGCTTCGTTACAATAAAACTTGATTGGCGCTGCAGTTACAGAAAGTGTCTTTTGAACGTTTTATAAGTTAGCACTTCCTGCGTGGAGCCCTGGTCCAATTGTACAAACATTTCGTAAAATCGCTCCACCCCTGTGCTCAGGTGGAAGCGCTGAGATGAACTACAGTAGCTGCACCACCAGCTAGATACTCAGTGTTGTGACGTGTTGGTATGCACAGACACACTAACCTTCTTGTTGAACGCAAGGGGCCATTTCCCCCCCCCAAAAAAACTCTTTGCATTCCCTAAAAAGAGTAAAGGCAAACTTCATCACTGGTATTCATGTCTTCCGTCTGCTAGTGGGAGACGGCTGTCCACCAAGTGTTGGACAGACGTGCAGATGTGTTGACAAATGATGCATGTGTTAAAAGAAGAAGAGCTTTAATGCATGTGTATTCTGCAAACGTAACAGTATGCGCCTTGTTCGAGACATGTTATTTTTAAGACTGTAGTTTGGGAGGGTGTCGTTCTCTGTCCATGCATTTAAATAGCAACACAGAAAAAAATAAAGAGGCTAACATACACTTAATGCGTCTTAAAGAGGAAAATAAGTCACCCAGAGGTCTGCAGCCGTACATCTTGTCATTTCTTTCAAATAGATTTGGACTTATCTTTTTTTTCTTTGTTTTTTTTTTTGTGTGTCTGTTAAATTTCAATGTTGACAGAATAGGAGTACATTTTGTGGATCACATTCAGAAGCCTCGTGTCTGTTCTTCTATACTTCGGTGATGCCGGCGTAGAGCCTGGTCCATGATCGGGCTGTGGGGAGACAGAGAAAAACAAAATGGTGGTGGAGGGCGTGAGGACGATATGGTGCAAGACTGTGGATAAGGAAAGTGTTGCAGAGTGTGCACAGACGATCGGACCGAAAGCAACCGACCGGTCCCAAGTATTTCTAAATGCACAACCGAAACAATTAGTCAGTCACAGAAAAGGGATTACCAAACATTTTAATGATCAATTTGTTGTTTAGAAAGTTTAGCAGCGGGGGCATCAGCTAAGGATTAGATTTGTTATCAATTGATCTACCAACTATTTTCATGAATAATGGAACAATCGGTTTCCTATCATAGAAAAACAATGAAGGCAGAAATGATTCACATCTACTGGAACAATGCTCTTTGGTGTTTGAAAAATAATGGATTAAATAATCAAATTAGTTACCGATTCTTTTTTTGTTGATTAACTAATCTCTAGTTACAGATACCGTCTGAGGGCAAAAACTGCAGCATTTTTTCTTTGCCGGAACATTAAATTTAGATTAAATTAAGTTTCGGTTCGGTTCTGATTACAACCAAGCCTTTGAATAAGATGTAACAGTATAAGAAACAGACGTAGCTCTGGATAGTTACATGGCAGCATGAAGTCAAGCTTCAGCAACAGAAAACCCAACGATTACAAGACACGTCTGTACACACCTACCATACAATTGAAAACATAGCCTGGTATTTAGTAGTTTTGTTTGTAAGCGGTTTAACATCATCTATGTAACAGTAACTACTTTACTGCCCAGCCATAAAGCCACGGGACAAACGACTGTAAGCACTACTCTCAACCTATCTCCTTATGTAACACAGGGGCCAGTTAAAACATTACACCATTATCTCAGTCAGATGATTTACAGACACCAAAACTGCATCGATTCCATCCATGCTTACTTGCTGCCACATTTGTCTGTATTTACAGACTTGGTCAAAACCACTGACATCCTGACTGAGTTGTTTCCCATTCATGAGAACACCACCAGATGAATCTAAATCATCCGTGACCGCCTGTGGCCATGACAGTGTAGTTCAGTACACGCTATAATGAGTGTTGAAATAGAACGCCAACTGATCCTCACCTGTGTCAATGGCGATGCTTTCGTTTCTCTTCCACTGCTCTGCAACATCGTTTGCGAGGGGATCATCTGGATTGGGAGCACTTAATAACGCCTGGATAGATAGCAACACTGTGCGGATCTGCAGAGCCGGAGACCATTTATCTGGAAGAGTGGAAGTTCGGAACAATATGCAAAAAAGAGAAACGGCTTTAAAAAAAAAAACGAGGGAAACTTCAGGGTGACATGTTACAGATGTTAGTGGGTAATGATGGCCGCGCAGACACAACATGCCAATGTCCAGCGGCAACCATCATGAATGAGTGTTAAAGCCGAGCAGGAATTGCTCCGAGATCCAAGTCTCCCTAATGCTACTTAATAGAAAACAACATCTGGCTCTAGTAGTTCTAATGAATCAAATATGAGCTGGCTATTAATTTGTGTGCCAATGAATCACAATGTTCCACAGTTTTATTTCTCCCTTTATTACTGTAGATCATGTTTAGGTACCTCACTGCTGCTCTGCTCTTGGTAGTTGCCAGCTGATGCCAGCTAATGTGAATTTCTATTTTTTTTTATCTGAATATTTATTTCATCCACAATATAAAAATGTCAGGTTTTTAGAGAAATTTCCAATTAAACAGTGCTACTTAAATGCAAATAGGTCATATTTTTATATTAGCACTGTAATGTGAAAGGGTTGAAACAACTAAGAACTTGCTAATTTCAAGGTTTGAGAGAAAACAATGCAAGCAAAAATGCTAAATTAAAATCCTGCGATAAGCTAAGTGTGGTTCCCTATCGATGCCGCCTATACATTTACATTTTACTATCAGGTTCTCTTACCTTTCAAAATGTCTAAACATATTCTTCCCAGCTTGTCAACATTGGGGTGGTAGATTTTGGTGATGAATCGCACTTTGGGAGCTGCCATGGGATACTCTTCTGGAAGAAATAGTTCAAGTTTAAATGTGCCTCCTTCAAAGGGAGAGTCTTGAGGCCCCGCGATGATCACATGGAAGTAGCGTGCGTTCGCTTCGTCTGGCATTGCCGTGATCCCCGGAACAGGCTCCGCCATCAACCGCTGCGTCTCCTGAGTGTGGTCAGAAGGAGAAACACATAACACCGTTGTTGACATTTCTGAGTAGGTGTAGACTTTCGAGTATATAATGGACGGGGACGAACAATTTCGCCCTGCTTAGTCACACACTTCCAAACTCACCCACATTCCACAATTTACCGTTTAACACAGGGACTAGCAATTGTGACGTACTGCACAAAGACTTACTATAATCTAAAAACACCACATTAAACTCTTCCAATTCATTAAAATGTATTAATTCATTAATCATTTGTTATATAAACCGTCAGAAAACAAATTAGAAAAATGTGCATAAATTCTAAGAACCCAAAGTTAGTTCTGTTTTGTCACAGCATACATATAAACCAGAAAATACTCACATTTAGAGAATATGTCTGTGAATATCTAGCATTTGACTATTTATCAAAATAGTTGCAGATTCATTTTTTGTCAATCATCTAATTGATTAATTGACTGTTTCAGCTTTAACTGTTTTAAGATACATTTGATTACAAGAATACAGTACAGGCGATTACTGATTTTCTAGTGTGTAGGCCTATACAAATTATATTATTATTAGTAGAATTGGAGAATTCTGAGGAGTACCGCAAATCGATAAAGAAGTGTGCGACACAAAATGAGGAAGTGGAGCGTTTTTCATATTTCTGCATTTGGTAAAGCAGGTGCACCAAAACATATGCAGCCAACAAGCGACGTTAACTGAATTAATCGTGTGGTAAAGATTGTGCACGTCTTTCGTTAAGATTGCAAACCAAAAGTACAGGTTTTCCATGATGGAAGCTCGTGTCGTGTTTTCAATGAGTCAACGATGTGAGAAAACCTGCTAAACCCGAGAAATAGCAGCTCGATGTGGAGGAACAGGCTGATCGCGCCCACAGACGGGCCTGGCTGGGCGAAGTTGACGGCGGAGACCGCACCAGGCCTTACATTTATTTCTAATTTTAGTTTTTGTACACCAGAAGCAACACGAACATGTTTGCCTAATTACAAGCATTTCAATGTCTCGAGGCCACAGCGAACACATCATCGCCAGGAATGTGTACCAATCACCTATGCTAACGTTAGCTTAGCTAACATAGCGAATCCATTCATATGGCGACTAGGACAAATTGTCATTTGTTGATCAATAGTACCAATTAGCAACCACGTGGTGTGAAAACTATAATTTAAGTACTACAACAAATGTACTCGAACAAAAATGAAACCACAATTGGAGCATACGCGAGTGAACGGAAGTGGCAAACAAAACACTCGCAGACGCGGACCAGCGAGCTAGCTTGATAACTAGCTAGATAAGAGCTAATCGTGCTAGTTGCGCTAACGTCAGGCTACGCGTTAGACGGCAGTAATTGTGCGTCAACATTCTCACCAAACGATCATAACAATACCCACACACGGCCTCGTTAAGACATGTATACAATACGTGGTGTAAAGTGTACCTTTACAATCCTACGAGGCAAACCGGTCATCTTGTGTTAGCTATTATATTTTTAGCCGTGGACTCGCCTTCTCTTCAGGTTGGATTGACTGAGCTGCCGGGGCGGGGCCAGATAACTCTCACTTCCGGTGGCTTCAGATGACGTAAGGAAATACACTGCTGTTCAAGATGTGTTTTTTTTTTAATAAAAATATTAAAAGTAATTGTAAATTTACTTCTTGGTTTTAGTTGTTACTGGCAACATTATAAACAGAATTTAAAGCTTCTTGTTCACAAATGGCATTTTTCTAAAACAAAGCATATGTTTTATTTTTTCCTTACAGCCTTAATATTTGTGTTTAAAATACATAAAACAAAATAGTATAAACAAAATTATATGTTATTGCATTACACAATGTAATCTGCCTTTATTGCATATTTTTCTCTTTTGCTGGTCTCTTCCTTTTAGTTTTACATTTCCTGTTATAAGATTATATTATATTATATCTTCTATTTACGCTGTTTAAGTCTTTGTTGTGATACAGATAATGAGAACGTATTTTAAGGTTGAAAACTGTCTAAATAAAAATGAGTAGCTCAGTTGGAAAATCAATAATTATAAAAACTATTACTTTCTGTTCCTGCCTCTGTAGTGAAAGATTGTTGGCGAGCGATGACAATGTGCTCTTTTTCGTGGTACTTTAAAATAGACAGTGAAAAGCTATAGCTATAACTAAGGCATATGCTTTCTGTGGGTGAGAACCAGCTTTTAATTACCACATGCAAGCATGGGTAGAGCATAAGAAGGTCCGTCTGTGCAGCACATAAAAAAGGCTTCGAAATGACCACCTAAATATTTAATGTTGTCACTTTTGTGGGGGTCGATCTCCTTCAGTCTTTATCTTTTTATAGAGACCGAACTTGTAAAATACACCAGCTTTTGTCAGTATTTGTTCATTTGGAGATAGATTTTCTGTTTTCTTCAATCATATTGTTGTGTGGTGTGCAAGACCTTTACCATGCTATAAAACACTCATCTACAGTTTTGTTTTTCTTGCAGGCACAGAATGATAGTATTTATGAATAAATATTAATTCTCAGCAAACTCATCGTATATTAAAATTGAGATACAAAAATCCTAAGGATGCACCACTGAGCATTTTAAGTGTTGATACAGATTTGGTGTTAGAGTGGTTAGCATATAAAATTAACAAAAATCGCTGAAGTATATAATATCCCTCTTGTTTTCCATACAAATATGATAATCAAAACTACTTTTACTCCCCAGCTACAATCTGTTCACCAAGAATATGTTTTATGGTATACTGGTGCCAGTCTATTAGCTTTATATTTGCAGTAGTTGTTATAAAAAAGCCCCTAAAATCCAGGGCAGTAAATATACACAGTATCAGAGTAGACGAAACAAAATAAAAGTGTAATTTCCAAGCCTTATTATTGTTCCATAGCAGCACTGACTTAAAAACTCATGACAACCTACGTAGTATTCAACAGTTTATTATACATCATTGTGACAAAAACACAAACATCATTTGCTGTTTTGTGACTTTGGCCTTCAACTATCTGTCCTTTGGGGGATCCTTCTTCCTGCGTCTCTGGTGGTACCTGTGAACAGTGACACAGAAGGAAATTCATTTTGATCAATGTCTACCTGATGTATTTTTGTCAGCTCTTACACTCTGCTTCAGATATATACTGCAGTTACAGATACACCTATTGTGTAATGGAAGAACCCCTAAAAAATGACTATAAGAAGCCTACACAAAGTACATAAGGTGTCATTGTCAAAGTTGGCGAATGAGCTAGTCCCGATGGGGCAGCACTACATCCATACTAAGGCAGATAAATACAAGATAATTGTATGCGTGTACTTACTGTCCTACTGGATACCACCGGTGTTTGGTAGTAAAAAACATCTTGCTTAGCTCCTCTATAGTGGGCCCTTTTCTGTCCTTCAGCACCTCCTTGCTGAGGTGGGCCTTTAAAATCTGGTCATGGGTCTCGACCGAGTTGTTCAGGGGGTCTGGTCGTTCTATAGGCTGCAAAGATTCACCGTCATGAACAAGGTTCCCTCTTACATAATTATACATTTTATGTTTATTTCCAGCAATGAACTGTACGTCCTCTCAGACAGAGGCAGGAATATCAGCTGTGCAGGGAAAATAATCTGCAGGGTTTTATGTCCCAAAAGAAATGTCTTTCTCTGATGGAAATTAGTGCTACTCAATGAGATGAAGTGACAACCAACACATTGTTATGCATGAGGCTAGAAAGCGCTCTGTTACCTGGGTAAGCTCATAGGGAACGTCGACAGTGGGATGGTAGCACACTATGGTTCCTCCATCTGAAGTCACACCGATTTCCACATTACTAAACCCAAGAAAATTAGAGGTTATTGTCCTGATCACAATATCATATTTACTTTATTATTATTATTGTTATTGTTATTATTATTGTATGGGTGCGTTTAAGTGCGTCTTACAACCATAGATAGACTGAATATATATATATATATATATATATATATATATATATATATATATATATATATATATATGAGCGTTTTTTTATTACATACACACTGTTAACGTCTTAACATACCAGTTCGGGGCATCAAGTGAAGGACCACTGACACTGGACTTCTGTCTCATTGGCACCAAACATGCTGCAGCAGAAATGACAGGTGAGACACACAGATACAAACTCGTGCATTTAACACACTTCACGGGACTTCTCAGCTTCTCAGCCAGAAATCAAACACCACATTTGAGAGCATGAATCTTTAGACCACCGTCAATGCTTTCTATATGATCTTAAGACAGAGGGAGGAGCAATAAGTAAGGACACCTTAATTACGTCGCTACCAATTTTAAATTTGATTTACATAAAATACACAGTACACACGTTGAGTGCAAGCCAAATCCAAGTGTTTACCTGCTGAACATATTCTCAAGGTTAGCCTCTGTTTTACTCCCACTACCGATGAGCTAATGGTCAAAAACGGCAAATTATAACAACCTCCATCAAATACCTTGTGATTCAGATATCAACAGAACTTACTTTGTACGTGTCGTAGTTGGGTGCCGTTAGAAAGTCGCGTTAAAAGACTATGTAGCTTGCACAAATGACCCGACGCCATGCTAAGCTCTGCTGAGTTACTTTCTGGTGTGCATCACTATAATAGTTCCGTCTTAGCGCTCAGACTCACTCAGTTTAGTTCCACTACTCGACTACCAGCCATACAAATACAACTTGCTTTTTCCCCAATCCTACCACAGTACATATTATATATATACATATATATATATATATATATATATATATA